TATGTATGTATGTATGTGTGTGTGTGTCTGTATGTATGTGTGTGTGTGTCTGTATGTATGTATGTGTGTGTCTGTATGTATGTATGTATGTATGCATGCATGCATGCATGCATGCATGCATGTATGTATGTATGTATGTATCTGTGTGTGTGTATGTATGTATGTATGTATGTATGTATGTATGTATGTATGTATGTATGTATGTATGTATGTATGTATGTGTCTGTCTGTCTGTCTGTCTGTCTGTCTGTCTGTATGTCTGTATGTCTGTATGTCTGTATGTCTGTATGTCTGTATGTCTGTATGTCTGTATGTATGTATGTATGTATGTATGTATGTATGTATGGTCCCGTGTCCCGTGTCCCGTGTCCCGTGTTCCCGAGAGCGTGAGCTTGGGGGACCATACCATTGGGGGGGGGCCAGGGATCCGGAGTCCGGACTCATATATATATATATATACTGTATATATATATATCAATAAGTACAACTCTATATATATATATAATGAATATAAATATAAATATAAATATGAATATGAATATGAATGTATGAATATAAATATGAATATATGAATATATGAATATATGAATATATGAATATATGAATGTATGAATGTACGAATGTATGAATGTATGAATGTATGAATGTATGAATGTATGAATATAAATATATGAATATGAATATATTGATATGAATGAATAAATAAACAAACAAATAAAAATATGTATGTATATTACTCTACGTGTATTGTATCTATATATATATATGCATATATAATATATATATACATATATATATACAGCATGGTGCATACATAGGCGAGTCTATCCCTCTTCAGCCGAAGGTGGCCTGCGTCGGAATGGACATCTCCTTGTAGCCTCCAAAAATGTCGCCCTTCATCCGTGTTGATTGGGACAGGGGCGGTCGCCAGTCCCGATGCTCTCGGTGGTCCCGGTGGTCGCGAGGCTCTCGGGGTCTCCCGAAGTCAGGCGATTCACAGAGGCGGAGACCGCGGTGTGGTCGTTGCCACAGCGCCAGAGGTGCCAAAGGCGCTTGAGCCGACGCCAACTCGTCTGAATGACGCCGTGGTCGTGGCTCGTTGCAGGGCTCTGGAGCTGGCACCATGGCCTCAGCCACTTCAGCCATGCCACATGTCGCAGAATGTCGGAGAATGTCGGAGAATATTCAGAATCATTGGCAATTCTGGATGTTTTTCTGCCAAGGAGGATTCAACAATTCCATTTTGTCATGCTCCAGAGACTCAAGCAAGATCGCGTTTGTACGCCTCCATCTTGACTTCACAGGCCTGCAGCCTTGCGAACGGAAAATATTGTGGCATCTTTTTGTCCAGTGTCAAAGGACCATCCCATGGAACGGAGGAGTTCTTGAAAGCTTTAGACTTATTTCACTTAGTTTCCCACTCTGCACGAAGTCGAGAGAGGAGGGGCCTCAGCCAAGGGACATATGATTGCTGCTGGCCCTGTGCAAAAAATCTTCAGGAACCACGGACAACGGCTATATAGCAAAATGCACTCTACTTGCAGCTACGCGATCACTCTGAAGCTCCACGCACATCATGACAAAGGAGTCAAGGAGCTTGGGGTGGTGTTAAAAGAGACAATACACCGAGATACACCGAGATACACCGAGTGTGTTGAGGAATCGCAGTCACCATAAGTGCCAATCTGTAGCTTGATGTGGCCCCCTGCCTGTCGTTCGGATTCACCGTGCCGCTGCCGTTGCTTTGAAGAACCACGATCCTTCCAGGTCTGAGTGCGGATAAACTTCTGTGACTGCACCTCACCTCAAAACACCTTGCCCCCAGGAGACATGTCGAGATACCTCAATATATCTCACTCGTCCATGTGCTTGAAACCGAAATGTTCAGCCATACTATTGCATTTGAGTGGTGATGAAAATGTGTGATTCCAGCTGGAAAAAGAATAGACTGTTTGTCCCCGCAGGTCCTGTTTGTCAGCCACTTGTGACGCTCCTGCACGATGACCTTGCACCAAAGACAGAACACACCCAAAAAATTTGGCGAAAGAGATGCGATGGACAAAAACTATGCAACTCACAATTCCCTATCGAATTTCGCAGTTTGCAGATCTGGCACTGGCATTCTGTGTCATTTCATGCCACAGTTCCCCCCTGTCGTTGCGCTAGGTGCCTGCTCCGCTTCCTGGACTTCCCGCTTGTACTGCACCAGCTGCAGCTCCACGTCCTGACTCACCTGGTGATTTGCTGTCCACGTGTCCTCGAATGTGGAGATCCGTGATGTTGCTCATGTTGCACATGTTGCAAATCTAGATCATTTATAAACTTATGATGTTTTATGAATATGATGTAATAAAATGGGTAACAGGATCACTTTGGAACACACTCTCAGGCATCACTTTAGAACACAGCCATTTTGCATCACTTCAGAACACAAAATCAAACATCACTTCAGAACACAGCCATACACACACACATCAGATTTACTGACAGGTGCGAGACTTTGGAAGAAAAACGCGTTCCAAAGCGAGACCAACACAAAAAAACGCCTCGTATGAGAATTTTACTCGTTTCAACCATGTCATAAAGTCCCACGCCTGCCACGTAAAAGGACAGTCCATGTACAAAAGTGCCACACCTGCCACGCAAAATGAAGGTCGATGCCAAAAGGTCCCACGCCTGACACAGAAAATGAAGGTGAATATATGAAAGAAAAGCCTTGTTGTACTTGTTGGTATCAAATCAACCAGCCCCCCTTGAACCATGACATTCATTGGTATCAAATCAACCAGCCCCCCTTGAACCATTACATTCATTGGTATCAAATCAACCAGCCCCCCCTTGAACCATTACATTCATTGGTATCAAATCAACCAGCCCCCCTTGAACCATTACATTCATTGGTATCATATCAACCAGCCCCCCTTGAACCATGACATTCATTGCTATCAAATCATCCAGCCCCCCTTGAACCATTACATTCATTGCTATCAAATCAACCAGCCCCCCTTGAACCATTACATTCATTGGTATCAAATCAACCAGCCCCCCTTGAACCATTACATTCATTGGTATCAAATCAACCAGCCCCCCTTGAACCATTACATTCATTGATATCAAATCAACCACCCCCCCTTGA